ATATATATATATACATATATATATATACATATATATATATATATTTATAAGATATGTATATATGTATATATAAATTAATATACATACACACACACACACATATATATATATATAGAACAAAAAGGATAAAAAGATAGTGGTAAGAGGGCTAATTAATATATATATATTTATTTATCCAAGCAGTGATATAGTTTTTTATACGATTAACAAATATTATTAAAAATAAGGAAAATTATGTATGAAGAACGCACGTATAATGGACTGGCCGAATAATATTAAAAATTATTATGAGACATATAGCGCGTGTTAAAAAACTGTTACGCCATTAGCAGCCAGCAAATGAATATCAATGATAACCAAAGAAATATCTTAGATAAGAAATGCTCTTCTTCGAATTGTGGAGTACCTCGTGCAGCTATAAAATAATAATATTAATTATGTAAAAATTAATATAAAATAATTATATTAATTATAAGTGTATTATATAAAAGTGTATAAAGATCAAGATATTTGAATTATACCAGGACTTGGTCGAGTCTCTCCAAAATTAAATGTAGACGTGAAAAATGCAAATGGAAATGTTCCAATGCCGAAAGACATATATGAGCCATCACCAAACCCGAATCCAGAGAATCCTAGATTGGTTTCAGGTTCTGATCTCTGCCCGGCAGGACGAGGTGGAACATTATTTCTGAAATAATAATTCATTTAATTCTATCGTTATATTAAACATATAATATCATTCTAAATTAGATTAATGAGAGATAAACCTTGGATCTTCGTGTTTTGTTGCTCCACGTCCATACAATGGAATGACTTTTTCTTTGCTAATAGCAGCTTTACAAACCGGGCACACTTGTCGTGTTGGACGAGTTTCTAGCCATTGATGTAAACAAGGCCAGCTATACGTAATTAAACAATAAATAATATTCTAATAATACAAATACAAATATAAATACAAATGTTCATAGTTAATCATTGAACATTTGGACGCAGTCATCCAATAAAAATATCATAATAAATGACGTACCAAAACAAATGTCCACACATGCTTACGACTGCATCCTTAGCTGTATCGAGACAAATGTTGCATTCAAACATTCTATCATCTTTTTCTTTTTCTTCCGTAGCAGAACCCGAAGGCCTAGAAGGCCCGGCTTGTTCCCTCATCGTACTCATCTCACTCCAATTATCTAAGACAATAAAAGTATTCCAGATAAAGTTATAAAAAGTATTGCGATAAATTATAAAATTGAATTTTGATTAGAGAGATAATAAGAACGCTCATATAACACGTAGAGAGATTAATGAGATATCATTGAAATCAGCTTGTTATCATTGTAGCCTAAGGACACTCTAAAACAATAAATATACAAATACCTGTAAATAAATATAATGCGAATTGGACTACGAATGGAACCATAAACGAACTTGGATTCCCGAATTGTATTTACATATTTAATAAGCAATATTTTAAAGATCTCAAATTAATCACGAATAAGACGACAAATTAAAAATTAAAAACAATAATTAAAAAATAAAAATAAAAACTGTAAAATATTTAATGACACGTAGTAGATAAAGCAAAGGTTAAGTGATCGCTTTATATAGTAACAGACCTTATTACGTACGACGAACATACGTGGTCTTCATCACACGACGATCGCTCTCTCTCTGTCTGTGTGTGTGTCTCTCTCTCTCTCTAATTGTGCAAGTTATTCACAACGGAAAATCCGAAGTACATATGTACATACGTGCATTCAAATACAATAGAGGTATCAATCTCTGTTTTTCGAGATACGTTGAATCAAAAGTCATGTGTTCTTGAAACGATAAAAACGATATGATTAGTAAACTGTACCGAATAATAAAACAAAAAAACAATCTCATCATAATTATCATTTAAATCTAACAACGAACGTTATTCATAGGAAAGAAAATAATAAAAAATCCAATTTCGTTTATGTTCATGAAAGACAAAGATACAAAAGGATGATAGTTTAGATGACAGCTGTTAAAAAGTAAATTAAAATTAGGACGTTAAAGGATGATTAGTGACGTGTGTTCATCGTTGTTGGTGTGATATTCCTATCGATACTTACTTCTTCAATGTGCTACGATTAAAAGGCCACTCTTTCGGCCATTTATTTTCTCCCACTAGCGTTTCTTCGTAACAACAAAAAAGAAAGACAAAAAAAAGCATAATACTTACTCTTACTTTTATTCTCCCTCTCTCTCTTTTCCTTTACCACCCTCCCCACCTCTCTCTCTCTCTCTCTCTCTCTCTCTCTCTCTCGCATAGACATACGTTCTCTTTGTCTCTCTAATTATTCACAAGCTATCAAAGTTTTGTCAACGAATCAAGCGTTTCTTTAAATGTAACGATTGCGCAAGCACCGAACGGTTAATTTTTATTTTTTGCAGTATAAAATGTAAAACGTATATTCACAGGTTAACACGTACATGAGAAATTCGACAAACGATGGTGGCTCGTTAAAATGAGATGTCCTTGAAGTCGAAAATTTTCACATTCGGAATTGTTTTTCTTTCCTTTTCTATACACGTCCCTCCAACGCAATTCTTCTTATCGTGCACATATAACCTCATAAACGATCAAAGAATCTTTTTTATCGTGATATTTTATTACCAATAATCGTTATAATAATAAGTATAGTAATATTTTGGTATAAATGGATTTTTACTTTTTTATTTGACTGGATCAACGCGCGCGCACACACATTAGTGTTGGTCTTGTATCGACCAAAAGACGTCTCGTTCGATCACGTATATCGAATAGTTCCCGTTTTTCCTGCTAGAGAGCATCCGCGTTTCGAGTTGCGCATGGCGCTTATTTTCAAATCGTTTTATTTTTATTCGAGACAAATGAATCCTTTTAAAAAATGATCTTAATGAATTGTTTTAATGTGAAATTGAAGATTGGAATGTATTTTTCGTTTAAATTTAAATAGATTTAACATATTCCTTTGTTTTTTATTTGATAGGATAGAAATAGAAGATAATATCAGTTCGATCGATTCTCACGTTTCCATGGAATCCTACGCTATGGTGTAAGATATCATTGTTTGCGAATAAGTACTGGATCAAGTGAGTGAAATAATCTCTATAATAAAAAAACCATTGATTTGATATTATATTTTAATTGAAATAGAAGAAATTAGATGAAAAAAGTTACGCGTATGAATAAATAATAGAAATATGAAAGCAAGCGATACGGACAATTCTCAGAGACAAAGTTCTAGGCCACAAAGTATAACATCGTCAAAATTCAGATTGCAAGTTGGTTCGAAGGGTCGAAAATATGGTAAAAATATAGCATCAGCATTATTGCAACAACGTATGGCATTCCGAGTTTATGAAGATGACGTCGATGTCACACCGAAACCTTTGACACACCCTATGTTTAATTTAATCGATGATCGCCAAATGACTGCTTTTGAACAGATCGGCCTTCCTCAAGTTGAAAACAACGCCCAATTGGCTTTCTTATCTTCTTCGTTACACGTGGGCGTTAAATCCAGTTCTTCCATAGTATCTCGATCATCCCTTTATATTACTGACGATATGCAAGTGGAGAGTCTTTTGTCCACTCAGTTTGTTGGTATTTTGGATGATACTCGAGACAAAGCACCACCTCAATTCTATTTGCCCAGGTAGTAGGAATAAATAAATAAATTCATTCATTCGATCTTTCTTCTAATTGTTACTCCTCAGGCATGATCCAGATGTCTTTTACACTCGACCAGAAACAGTTACGATTATATTAAAAGAAACAGAAACTATCATCTTTTTCGAGATGCTTCCCTTGACGAGTGATCTTCGTACACCGGAAGGGCAGGCAGTCAGAGAAAGCAATGAAAGATACAAACGTTTGATATCAAGTCCTGCAATTGTTAGAAAAATAGTTGATGCTGAGACCCAAACTATTGGGACTATCACAAAATCGCGTGGAACTTATCTCGGGGAAAGAAAACGACGAAATCAAGGAATGTTTGTTAATAATTGGGTTATACACGACACGTATAAGGAATCGGAATTATTGATGAAGAAGAATGGTCTTCTAATTGTTCGTACTAGGGATAGTTATCAAAGAATGTTGGAAACACAGGTCCGATCTTTATTATCCTTTTACTACAGATTCGTTCACTCGTCTATATATTTGAAATATTCGTAAACTTAATTTAATGTGTAGGAAATGGAAGATAAATTGCCCAAATATGACATGGCTCTCCAAGTTAAACGTTCCTCTGAACAATTAGCTCACATGGTATATAATACTGGATTTCTGAACTCTGTACGTGTTATGGAACGAATATTATCCAACAATGTTTACCTTGCTGCTCAAAAACGTTTCACTGGGATCGTCCAACGAGATCCGTGTAGTCTCGATTTAGAATTTACGTACGATCTTGATCTCCTATGGACTTATACTTGCGATTTAAGTAACGATCGACCAGTTTCTTCATTTCGTTGGAATTACTCTAATAGAAACATCATTGCTGTGTCGTATGGATCAAAAGTTCGTATAGAGCAATAATGCTTTTTTGTATTAACAGTGCGATAAATATTGATACGATCATTTCGCGTACAGCCAGGCAATGATAAAAAAGATGGTCTCTTGTTATTGTGGTGTGCAAAAAACCCAAAAGAACCAGGACAAATCTATTCCTTTGACAGTCAGATTTCCGACATCGATTGGAGTCACGATCGGCCAAATTTACTTGCTATTGGTTTTTACAATGGTTCGATCAAAGTTATCGACGTTAGCAGCACTTCTATTAACATAATACGACAAAGCAATGCTGACACTTCATCTGTATATGAACCTCATTGGCAAGTACAATGGTGGGAAAGCGACGAACATTTTGATTTTCAGGTATTGAAAGTTTAATATTCAAAGAAGAGAAATCAAAATAAATATATAAGTTGAATACTTGTGTTTCTTGGTTTAGGAATTAATTTATACGAGTAATCAAAATGGTCATGTATATCGTTACCCGTTGGACGAAGATTTCGTAATGACCAAAATGATGAAAATTTCTAAGATAGAAGATAAAATACCAGGAGTTAAAAGATCGGACCAATGTATCGAGTACGATATTTTAATGAGTCAAAATCCAGGTGTTCTTGTTCTTTGCAGACATCCAACTTTAAATGCCATTTATTTTGTTGGTTCGGACGAGGGTGCGATATATCGATGCTCTACAAATTATTTGTATCAACACATCGATAGTTTTCTAGCTCACGATGGCCCAATCTACAGAATGGAATTTTCTCCTTTTTGTTGTAAACTCTTTTTGACTTGCGGAGCCGATTGGTGTACGAGGATTTGGATAGAAGAACTAACCGAACCTTTGATCACTCTTTCAACAACGACGGCATGTGTGCCCTACGCAACTTGGTGTCCTACGTATTCAACCATAATCGCTAGCATCGTTAACAACGAAATTTGCATATGGAATATCAAAAGAAGAACCTATGCTCCATTATCTGTAACACGTTCACCAAACGAAGCAAGACTAGTGAAAGTCGAGTTCAGTGCTAATGCTAAACAGATGGTAGCCGCGGATGTTCAAGGTGCTATATATATTTATAATTTAGAAGGTATGCCATTTTCACCTTACAATCAGGAAGAAGTTTTAATCGAATCTATCGAGAAGGCATTGCTTACCAAACCTGAGTTGTTGAGGAAACTTCGAAAAACTGGCCCACCATTCTCCGACAATTGATATATTGTCATACAAGTAGTACAATAAAAGAAAAGGATATACCTATATTTAATAATATTAAGGAAGATTATAGGGAAAGAGATCTACTTTACCAACCGTATAAGAGATCAGAAAACAATAAGGAGTGGGGATAAGAAGGTGGTAGTCGAGGAACCTGACGGAGTTCCCTCGGGCGTCTTCGCTCGAGGGCTTCGCGTGATTCGTTCGAAGGTAAGAGAGCAAAGGGAGAGAAAGGTTCGGATTCTCAAGCGTGCGTCTCGACAAGCTGGCTCCGCAGGCTCTGGCTCTGCAGGCTCTGGCTCTGCAGGCTCTGGTTCTGGACAGGCGCAACCAACCTGTGTATAGGTTTCTTGGTCTGGCTGGCTGGCTGGCTGGCTGGCTGGCAGGCAGGCAGGCAGGCAGGCTGGCTAGCTGGCACCAAAGGAGTCGGCAGAAGAGTGTGCCGTAGTGACGAGAGTGAGAGAGAGAGGGAGGGAGGGAGGGAGGGAGGGATAGAGAGGGGCTTCCCTCTTGGTTGCTTGCTGCCGCAGCTCGCGGGCACGAACTGCGCTACCGCCGTCAGCAGGCAGTCTTATTACGCCCGCACTCAACTACGCGAACTAAGTACTCTTCTTAGAGATCCCGAAGACACACGAGTTTATTTTTTCGGCTTCTCGGTACGGTTATATTTTGTTCATTTCTCGTCTTTTGACCCTTCCACGAAGTTTGTCCATTGATCGATGGACTTTTTATGATATCTAACTAGAATCAATATTCGTGTGAATTGATGGAAAGGTAGCCGAGGATAATACGGCTTTTGATTGGTCGATTGGATGGTCCAAGGTAATCCTTCTATGATTATTTCTTGTTTTTCTTTGAATTTTTGTTGCTTCCACTAATTTTACTCCTCTCTAGATATTTTTATTTATTTTATTATTGCTCATTTTTTATCGATTATATCTATATGGATATTTTATTGTATACGCGTGTGTTATATTTCAAACACTCGAGGAATGTATATATGTACAAGCAGAGGCTTTTTAAGTGGGTAAAGAAAACAGCGTTGGGTTCAACGGAATAAGCGACAAAGGGTTATACCGTGTCGTTGACTCTCGAGGATTAGTCATATTTGTTTAGTTACAGACTTTCTAGCGCGTTAAGTAGTTTCGCGGCGAAGGTCCTCGTGTCAATGTTCGGTTCACGGATGTGACATTACACTTAAGCGCTTAAGTGTAATGCAAAAGAGGAGTTCTTTATTGAACCAATCTTTTTTCCATCTAAAACATTTTTATTCGGTGTACAACTTCTCAAATTTGTACAACTCACTGTAACATACACGAGGATCATTTAAATGATAAAAAATAAAAAAGAAATCTTCAACGTTCATAAACGGATCGATCACGAAAACGGATGATCATGAAAATCCAACCCGGCTGGTATTTTCAAATGATCAAAATTCAAATGTCACATGAGAAAATGAAACACTTAGTATTTTCCAACTGGATGTATTTGTGTTAAACGAGTCGACGGTGTGAAGGGAGCTTAATAGAGAGTAACATGTGCAAGCAAAGAATAGTGGCGATGCCGATGTTGCCGGGGCACGAGCTACACCGTGATCGCTCTGTTCTCCACGAACTCTGACCGATACCTATTCGATCGAGATCTCGAACAAATCCATGAGTGAGAATTGAAAATATAAACGTTCAATTATTCTTATCTAACAATAAGATCAAACATTGTCCTTATCGTTAAGTCGATGAAAAATAAGATACTACGAATCTATCAGTTAAATAAAAACGAGCTAGATCATCTATGCAAAGGGGGTTACCGAAGTTTGTGTGTGTGTGTGTTTCTCAAAGTTAACTCGCACAGTGTATAAATCGAGTCTCGAAGAAGTAGTGTGTGTGTGTGTGTGTGTGTGTGTGTGTGTGTTCGCTAAATTATACGTTTCCACGTGCATTCGGTATATTGTGAAGATCGGACGTTACACATTGTAACGGGTGGTGCACAAGTGAGCAGTGAAGGCGTTTAATTGTTTTCATTTTGAATAATATCAACCACATTTCTCAAATTTTAAGGTACACCTAAATAAATTAAACTATTTCTATAATATACAACAAAAAATATCTTCTGATAACTTTGGAACAATCTTATTTATTTTTTAAAATAGAATCACGAAGATTTTTTAGTAATATCTATTAACTACTCAGGATTTTATTTTGTTAATCATTAATGAATAATTAGAGTGTGTTTAATTACAGTAATGCGAATAGGAAAGGTTAGGTAGTGTAATCTATAATGCACTTGTTATTCGACTGGATTCACCGATCTTCTCTCATAATCCTTTATCTACACTAGCCTTTGCCTATTCGCCTAATCGCAAGCATGCATCACGTCTTTCTATCTTCATCTATTTTCTTTCGTTCTCTAGGAACAGCTTGCATCTATGGGGTTTCTCTCTCTCTCTCTCCTCTTCTCTTCGTTCTCTTCTGGTACATACATAAGTAAATTTTTCTGACATTATCGCTAGGATGTAGCCTTTACGCGAGGACAAACCACTTATCTCATCTCCTGTTCTAAGGAAAGTTCATGAGAGTTCGCATTCATGTTTTCTAATCGTCGTTAGAACTACGTACTAAGGTACCTACGTACTTCTATATATACTTTACTTGTAGATACACCTCGATGTACTAAGTGTTTCATAAGATGGCTTATGGTTGATGGCAAGAAGTATCTACTGTTGATGAGTTCTGTTTCTCGTAAATCGAAAGTTGGATGGGAGCCATCTTTCTTTATGTGTTTAATGACTTCCATATTCGTAACGATATGGAATATCGTGTATGATTTTAACCTTTACCGGGGTTCAAATATCAAAATTAAAATACTGCAAACCTTTAACAAGTATTAATACATTTGTTCATTACTTTTGAATAAAAGGAAGATGACTTGTAGGATTGTTGTAAGGAGATTATTGTAAGGAGATTATTGAAATTAGTGATAATCGTTCTGGTTTTACTTTGTTTCATATTTCTTTGAACAAATACGATGTGATGCTGTCTTTTAGAGAAAATTTATATTGCGAAAGAGATATGATATGTACTTAAGTACGAGGCCATTTTTTTTCCATTTATGAAACATGGAAAGGAGAAAGAAAAACAGGATCTCTCTCGCTAGAACGCGTGGGCATAGCGCGTTATCATCTGCAGTAATTTACGTATATATTACGAGTAGTAACATCCTGTTCTCTCTCGGTTGGTTCTGTACTCTGTATATAGGTTCTATGCACTCCTTGCAGTCATAGATTATCGTGCATGCATTAGGTCTGAATCATCGATTGGTACAACAAACTTATAACCAAAGTAGGAACATGCTTGTTTCAAATTCAATAAAACAATCATTTGAAAACCTAATTTTTGTATGTATATAAATAAAGAAGACAAAAATTGTCAAACATGCATAAGAATCGTAACTGAACAAATGGAAGCATACGTTTCGCGGATATATTATATATAAGTAAGACGATAAGAGGAGAGGTCGGATTTGCGACATCGGATTTGCGACGTCAGGAAAATGCGTTTGATCTGCGATTTGCGAACAACGTAGGTGGTGTGACGGGCGCAAATAATGCGTGAAAATACGAGTAGCAACAAGAACTCGCTTACAGCGATAAGGGTACATTCGTACATCGTCTTGGCTACGTGATCTCGAATCTTAAAGGATACAATTCAAACTATAGATATACATGTATATGCGTTTAATACATAATCTTGACAAGAAACATATTTATAAATGTTTAACAAAACGATAATTGCAATTAGCTGTTAACGTCTGTGCGTAATCCGGTAGAAATGAACTGGAAACAAAGTCTTAGTAGTAAGAGGATAAGACGAATGCATAAAAAAAAAAAGAAAAAGGAAATTTCTAAAGTTGCATCTATTTGAAAAGGTGACTTTTGAACACGACCCGACCACGAGAGAAAGAAACAAAGAGAAGGGAAGTATAAAACACAAAGAACTCGTGACTGGGATATTAGAGGAGGATCAGGAAAGAGTTCGAAGAGGATTCCTAATCCTCTCGATAGCAAAAGAGACTCGTGCGAGCAGTCGACACGTCCGAGTGCAGTGCTCCTCGTGCCATCTCATCTATAGCTTGCCTCGTGCCTGCATACTCAACGTTATTTCCCTGGCTCGACTTCTCTTTTTTCTTTCTTTCATTCCCTCTCTCCCTCTCTCCCTCCCTCTCTCACCTTCTTATCGCTGTAAGCCGAAGAATCAGAAATACCACCACCCGCTGACTACCGGACCCAAGATCCGGAAAACCAAAAACGGCGACCGCGAATTCGCTTCGACAGGATTGCCCATCGGTAATATACCGGGGGTACCAGATTTTTGTCTAACTATTATTCGATGATCGCAATTTAAACAGATCCTTCTTATAAAATTATAACGTCTAACGGAAAGATAGACGTAATATTTTTTGTTTGCTCGAGGAATGAAGATCTAAAGGTTTCCACAACATTGGATCAAACATTTTTCAAATATCTGGATAAACTGGTGTTGCTAACTAAGTTACACACTGAGAAAGAAGAGCATACTCTTCCAGTATGCGTTTCATCTTACTTCCAATTTCGGATCGGTCAAGTTCTTCTTCTTCTTTTTCTTCTTGAGGATTTTGCTTGAACTTGATGCACGATAAGGAAAGAGAAAGAGAAAGAGAAAGAAAAAGAGAAAGAGAAAGAGAAAGAGAGGAGAAGAAGAAGAAGGATTGCGAGTTTGCAGTATATCCATGGAGTAGCCGCTTTGTTTCACACGGCACGTCCAGCAATTAGTATTCAGTCTCCTTGGGACACCCAGTGTAAGCGTGTATATAAGATACTGGCCTCTCCAAGTAAACTTGTTTATCAAGTTACACACGGCCCGGTGAGTCTCCCTCTTCGTTCGTCTCTCTTCGCCCTGGAACAGCTTGGAAAAGGATGGTAGAAACAGCCAATTCTATGATGTACTTTTTCGAACATTTTTCTTTTATTTTTAACGGTCGACGCCATTATGGATCTTTACCAAATACTTCAAATATGTAAAACAAACTAAAACTTTATCTATCTCTTTCGTTCTAAACGAACAAAAATATCAGATAGTTTTCGCAAATTTGGAATAATTATTATTTACTATCATTTTTACACACGCGCATTATATATCGCGTACCTTACGGTCTACTATATATACGTCCACTCGAAAATTGAAATTATTTATATCATCGTGGATTATGAAACGTTAATGGCCTTGAAATTTCACGCGTAAGCGATTATCATACCTCGCTTATGGGCTATTTAAATCGCATCATTTATATATATATATATATATATGTATAATGCGTATACGTATATGGACGCGTTGAATCCTTTGGGTAGGAAACAAGCAAACACTGCTAATACACTATTATACAAAAAGAGATTTATTCGAATCGAAATAATGTTTTACGATTGCCCGAAGTAGCGAGACGAATTTTTCGAACGATTTCCAACCTCTCCCTCTTACCTCCCCCTTTCCCTCCCTCTCTGACTCACTCACGAAATTCTTGTCAGGAGGCCAATTTACGTTACGAGCGTGTACCGAGAAGTTATCAACATAATCGTAAGATAAACACCCCTCATAAAATTAAAAAGCTCGCACTCTCTGCACAAAGAATCTTACTCTCTCTCTCTTTCTCGCTCGGAGTGCAGTTTCTCTTCCCCTTTCTTCTCCTTATCCTTTATTTTTTTAATTTTTTCTTCACTCGACCAAAAAGCGCTACCTCGAATTTATTCTCACGCATTTAAATCGTTTTATAAAAGATCTTTAAATCGT